GGGCTGATGAGTTTTGATTTCTGTTTTCTGTAGAGTTTCCAGTCTCTCTCAGCACCTCCTGAATCTATAGATGTTAATGACGATCCCTTCAGTTCTCTCTTCTCTTTTGATGACCTGAGAGAATCTGTCCATCAGCTGAGAGACAAACTGGAGGATTCCTGCAAAGAGGAGCTCAAGAAGATCTCAGACAGAGGTAAAGTTCTGGAGATTCATCTGCTCTCAGAAACCAGTCCATCATCATCTCATTTCATGGAGAACATCATATTAGAAATGTCTTAGGAATAGATGCAGGATCATGAGAATCACACTGTTCATGTCTGTTGATTTCCACAGAAACACTCACCAACATTGCTCCCAGAACCAGGAACCACTTCCTACGATGTAAGTCAGTAAGAAAACAAGCAGAAAAACTCACGGAGTGTGTTCATGTTCTTCCTGTAGAAGCTGAAAGAAGAGTTTTATCGTTGATCGTGTAAATGATGATTCGCACAGGACACCTGCTCATCTGAACACGAAGTGTCCAGCTGCATGAAAAGATCAAACAGATGCATAATTCCTGTGATGTGTTTTATCTCCATCAGACTCCCGTCAGCTCACTCTGGATCCGAACACAGTGAATGAATACCTCCGTCTGTCTGAGAGCAACAGCGTGATTACTTACACTTACACAGAACAGCCGTACCCTGATCATCCAGACAGATTCGATGTGTTTCAGGTGTTGTGTAGAGAGAGTGTGTGGACGCTGTTACTGGGAGATCGAGTGGAGTGGGAGTGTGTTGATATCAGTGTCGTACAAGAGCCTCAGCACAAAGGGATGGGGTAATGAGAGTGTGTTTGGATATAATGATCAGTCCTGGAGTTTGTCCTGCTCTCCTTCCAGATGCTCATTCATCACAATAACATAGTGACTAAACTCCCTGCAGTATCCAGCAGAACAGGAGTGTTTGTGGACAACAGAGCAGGAACCCTGTCCTTCTACAGCGTCTCTGACACAATGAGCCTCATCCACACAGTCCAGACCACATTCACTCAGACGCTCTATCCTGGGTTTAGGGTTGGTTATAAATCATCAGTGAAACTGTGTTGATGAATCAGAATAGACTGACGAGAGATTCTACATATAATGCTTTGAGCTGCATGATGAACTCTGTCAGTGAAATAAGATCAGAATAAATGTAATAAATCCTAACATAGACAGTAAGATCAGTGTGTGTGAGTCCTGCTGAGTGACCATCTGTGCTTTTCACAACCTACATTTGTGTTCATTAAAATCAGTAATTTAGTAATCATATTAATAATGATGATTAATACTTGATATTTTCATTTTTAATAAGTTTTTATTTTAATGATTTTTTGTCAGTGTTATTTCTGTTCTCTGACTGATATAAATAAAGCTTCTACCCACTTGATGAACAAAGGTGATGGGTTTTATTCCTCCTCTGTGCAGATCTCCAGAAGACAAATCAAGCAGCTCGTTATAGCTTCTTCTCTCATCCTAAAATCAGTTGACATAAAAATCAGACGAGTCATAAAAGGACAATATGTGACCCTGCAGCACAAAAGCAGTCTTAAGTCGCTGGGGTATATTTGTAGCAATAGCCAACAATACATGTCTGTTGATTCCCACAGTCACATTCACCAACATTGTTCCCAGAACCAGGAACGACTTCCTACAATGTAAGTCAGTAAGAAAACAAGCAGAAAAGCTCACTGAGTGTGTTCATGTTCTTCCTGTAGCAGGTGAAAGAAGAGTTTTATAATTGATGATGTAAATTATGATTTGTACATGATATCTGGTCATCTGTACTGAGACACTGATGATACACTGAACATGAAGAGTTCAGCTACATGAAAAGATCAAACAGATTCATAATTCCTGATTCTGATGTGTTTTATCTCCATCAGATTCCCATCAGCTCACTCTGGATCTGAACACAGTGAATAAACGCATCCGTCTGTCTGAGAGCAACACAGTGATTACTGGCACTGGCAGAGATCAGTCGTATCCTGATCATCCAGACAGATTTGATGTGTATCCTCAGGTGTTGTGTAGAGAGAGTGTGTGTGGACGCTGTTACTGGGAGCTGGAGTGGATTGGAAATAATGGTGTGCGTATATCA